TGCCACGAACTGTCTTCTTCTCTCATATTCATCCTCTTCTTCTTGGGTGACATAGCCAAGAGCGTATCTGGCAACCTCTGAGAACCACCGCACTCGAAAGTCGAACTTTGCATTGTTCTCAGGTGCCAAACACATTGCTAGAATGTCAGATAAGATCAATTCATCCTTCTCTGAGTTCTTTTGAAACTCAACCAGTGTACGTGGGCGTCTCAAACGATTTGCCCAGTTCTGAGATTCCCCCCAGGGAACTCTGTGCGACCAGTTTCGAGCATACTCAAAGAAGTTTACTGGATTGGACGCTCCCTGACCGGCCATCTCTGTTGACACAAGGTTCACCGGTCAGAGTCCGGCGTCCTGAGTCTTAGAAATGACAGTTAGTCAATAATGCAAAGCAATAGTCTTCAGAAGAAAAGTGCTGATCTTGCCAAGCTAATTTGAGCCGCAGGCGCAAATTCATGAAAGAAATTCGAATTTCTTCCAAACAAAAGCACATGCATTGAATTCTCTCCTCTCACTCTCAGTGCAAAGAATCTCCAACAACATGTGTGCATACTGTAGGAAGCCATCCACGCAAATATGCCTTGTGTTCAATAAGAGATCTAAAAGGTGGATGTGCATCAACTTCCTTTAAACAACCACTGCGTATTGCATCTATCAAAGCCTGAGGACTAGCAGACTTCTTAGTAAGACAGTCAGCAAGACACCACTGAGTGCGTATATGTGACAAGTCAGCAATTGCACCAGAGCATGCTTCCTTCCTAAGCATTTGGATCATATGAATAGTCTCCTGTTGCTCAGGAACATGAGTAGTACTAGCTGTAGTCACAAGATTGTTAGCATCAGTGCGCATGTGAATGTCAGTAGAGTCACCTGTAATGTCCTTGATCAGGCCTCTAAGCATTTGGCAAGTGCCATAACACTTCATGAATGCATACAACTCGGCAACAGTTGTGGACAGGGTTGTTCTCTTGATCTTAGAAGATTCAAAGAAAATAAGTGAGCCTTTCGTGTTCTTCTGTTTTGCCTTCCTTTGCTCACCCATAAAAATAACCATAGCACGTTGAGAGGATTTGTCACTGTTGTTCCTGAATGCGGCATCTGGCATAGCAATCAAACGTGGACTACCTTCAAGTGGCCAAAATCGTAACTCCATAGGGTCAGTCACGATTTGTTTGCACAGCTTGTTCAGGGCCTTGCAATCACCTACTGTAGGTCCTGCTGATGCTGAGGCTGACCTTGAGAATTGGTAGCATGCTTGGAATTGTGTTCTGGATTGTAACCAGTTTATGCTGCCAAGAAGGGATCTGAAGGCTGTGTGCATGTCCTTGTCACACTTGTCCTCATCCTTCAAACCTTTTGGAATAATAATCTCAGTCAATTCTTGAACACAAAGGGATTGCTCTACTGAGATATACTCCTTCTTCTTGGTCTTCTCTTGCATCTTCCAAGCAACACGTTGTCCAGTGAACATCAGGTCATTAGTGTCCTCATGTCCAATCTTAAACTGTGACTTCACAATCTCCTTGAACTGTTTCAAAAAGATATCATTACCTGTCACAAAAAGATCATCAACATGTAAACAACACATACCAATAGGTGACCTATTCTTAGAATTACTGCCATGCACAGGGTCCATAAAATGCTCAAGCAACTCTTCCACAACTTCAGGTGTAAGCTGAGGCGTTTGTGTCACAGTATACGTATGTTCTGCAGGAAGAAAAAGACTGACAAGCGTTTCAGCTTCTTCCTCTAACGTCACTGCATTCTTCTCGTTTCGTATATCCTTGTTTGTCTCGAGAAGCCACCAAACACCTTTACGCTTAACTATCGAAGTTCGAAAACAAAAACGCGAACGCGAATACGTAGGTTCGGGAGTGCAAAGAGCTTTCGCGCGATACGCAACTTGAGCATGGCCATTTGCGTATTTGTGCCAACCTGCCTTGCGCTCTACAGAGTCAAGGAAATTCTGGAGTTCCTGATCTATCACAGGAGTCCATTTTCCATCCTCTACCTTAAGCTGGTTACGCGTCACCGTCTTCTCCGACCTATTTCCGTAACACACCGAAAACAGACGTTCTTCACAGAGAAAAGACCTACGAACTTCCTCCGCTGCGTCGTGGAATTCGTTCGGCGGCGCACCTGCTACATAGAATGATACCGGTTCCGGTTCGGCTGGCATCTCCTCTGACGAGTAGTTCACAGCCTTAGGAACCTTGAAACATCCAGAGTAGCAGACGTACGTGCACCGATCGGCTCGAGTCGGAACTAATCCGAGTGAGTGCAAAAACTTGTCGAGTCGATTCCACCAGCGACGAGGCGCGTCGCTCAATCCGTACACTGAACGGGTGCACAATCCGACGAGATACGGCGGCAATCCGATGTCAGTCGGAAGTTGAACGTGAATAACGCGTCGCTCGAGGTCGTAAAGTTCCCCCTGAAGAAAGGCAGTTTTCAAGTCGATGTGTAACAGGTCCCAAAAAGAAGAGGCTGCATGCTGACATGCTACGCGAAAACCATACCTGGTCGCGGTTGGCGAGTCCGTCTGAAGGTCCCATTTCTGGGCATCTTGGAAGCCTCGACAGACCCATCTGGCCTTAAACTTCTTAAAATTACCATCTTTGTCAATCTTGATGGTCAGGATGGCAATTTTCCGCTCTGCTTGGTAGGAAGGTGTGGCTTTCAAAACAGAGAATTCCCACTAGACTTCCCACAAACTACGCACCACCCTGAGCAAAAACCTTCTGTACAAACAAGCGCTTGTGGAACTGAAGACATTTGATTCCAAACATGATTCTGTGGAAAGAAATGCAATGGAGCTGCATTGGGGTGCAGACAACCACCAACAGATGCAGAGATTTGTGTGGCGATGGAGCTGTATTTCTGCAAAAACCCACCAACAGATGATGAGAGATCTCTATGAGAGACATTGACATGAAAAGTTTTTTATATATGGTTTGGCTGTGCAACACAAACACACATGGACACGTGCGTGTGCACACACACACATATGTCACCAAAAAGTGTGAACATTCACGCACACACACACACAGTGTGAAAATTCACCTGCTTCTTTTCCATCTCAGGTCATGTCAGTCAGTGCGAGGTCAGAGTCTTCAGCCTTCCTAATTTCCTAACTAGGTCCACGCCGGCGCCAGCAGTCACTTGGTCAGCTGGTGCAATGCCAAGAACAAATTCGACAACGCACCAGTGTTGCCAGTGTTCGAACTTGAGCTGCTGGGGAGGGTAGCCAGACTGGCTGCAGCCTCAGCTGTTGTGGCCATGGGTACCTCACGCTCAGCTTGTCCAACTGCAGGAGCAGGAGACTGAACTTTGTGGGCCTTGAAGTCACCTTGCTTTGGGTGGCAGGTTTTCATGTGCTGCCTCTTGGCGTAGTCTTGGTTTGTCACCCACTTCTTGCACAAGGAGCAAGGAACTGCCCGTGGTTCCCCTAGGGCATACGCCTTGCATTTGGCAGACGCTTCCTGGTGCTGCCGCAAGGCGTACTCACCGCCAAACAAGACCTTCCAGCAGATTGGGCATTGCGTAGTCTCAGCCTCTGTTGGGCCATCTTGCTTGGGGTCATGGTCAACACCTGAAGGTGGCGGTTGTTCTTGGTGACGCCTCTCTCGCTCACGCTTGCTTGGGCTTTGGCGCCTCGGTGTCAGAACCAAGCTGCTGTGACCTCTCTCACGGTCCCTGTGAGTCCGGCCCTGGTGCTGGCCTTGGCCATGTCGCCTGTCATTGTCATGGACATGACGGCCATGGTCATGTGACCTGCCCCTTTTGGTGGACCTGGCACTGGCACTGCCATGGCTGGATCGCCTTGGAATTGCACTCCGACTCCTGCTTCTCTTCTGGCCACGGCCGCGGCCATGGTGTCGACTGGAGTCACCCTCAGCAGCCTCGGCATGTGTGTGACTGTGTTTGTGCTTGCGCTTGTGGCGCCTGTGGCGCGTTGCACTCTTTCTTTCACTTGGTGGCCTCCGGCCAGTCTGGCTCTGGCGTGGTGGTGGCACCGGTGCTGGCGGTGCTGGCGGTGGGCGAGGAGGCAATGGCTTAGGAGCAGCGTGAGCTGGAGTAGTCAGAGGTTGAGCTTCTTCACCCTGAGTCGGACTTGGAGTCGGAGGTGGAGGGTGGACTCCGCCAACCTGATCACCGTCACCGTCACCTTCACTGCTTTCACTGCTGCACGACGATGTCAACTCAGCTTCTTGTTCTGGTGGCATGACACCTGCCAGGTTTGATCCATTGATCAAAAAAAACACTGATTGGGAAACATACACAGGTGAATGTGGGTTCCACGCAAAGAAAACTATAGGTGATTATTGGAAAAATACGAAGAGAGAACATGGATGAAGGTTCAACCCCTGCCCCACACCTCCACTCCTCCTGCAAGTCCTGCAGGTAGGAGATGGAAGGTGCTGGAAACAGATTGTTGCTCCACACCTCCACTCCTCCCAAAGGTAGGAGATGGAAGGTGCTGGAAGCAAACTAAAGTAAAGATTGCCCCACACCTCCACTCCTCCCGTAGGTAGGAGATGGAAGGTGGTGGAGGCAAGCAATGATTGAAACCCTATGGTGACATGAGGTGACATGAGAAGTTGTGGAAGTGGGTGATGTGTCGTCCAAACCCTGAACACAAAAAATTGCCTGGCCTCCAAGTGCTGTGCGCGCACCCAGCTCAGCACAGTGGCTGGAACAGGGCAGCTGACTGACATGGCCACGGTTTCACAACAAAAAGACAACAAGAAACTTAAAAGCAACACATCTTAAACTTACCCTCAAGGCTCAAGACTGAACAAACAACCAATCTACTTCTATTGAAAAAACATGTCTGGCTCAAGAAGGACCAGTGTGAGCAAAACCTTTTCCTCATCAGCGCCAACTGCGCCAACCTGGTCTTCCCTGCGTCTTTGAACCTTGAACTGATTGCTATGCAACCTGGAAAAAAGCGGACCTTCAGTCACTGTGACTAGGAAGGTTGAACTGTGCCTGTGCCCTCATGGCTGCGTTGCAGGACCTGCCTTTTTGGCACCAGGAGACACAGCTGGCTGTTTTTTGGCAGCGGCGGCAACATGCTTGTCCAAGCTTTGTTCCACCGCTTCCATTTGCCCAACTTCTCTCCCATCATTCTTGAAGAGCTCCACAACAGCTCTGTAGTTTTGCAAACTCTCAGGCTCGATGCAAAAGAAAGACTTGCGCATCCCATACACTTCAGAGCTGCCAGGGTCGCAAGTCTCAATGCACAAGAACCCGTCAGGGATGAAAAGAACCTCATTGGCCACAAGCTTGTGATGGTAAATTGTCAACCCATTTGAGTTGCGGGCCGTTTCAACATCTTTGTCAGTCCACTTCTGGACAAGTGCCAACGCCTTGGTGTAGGGACAGGCATCATTGTTGACACGCAAGATCTTCTCAACAAACTGGTGGACAGAAAACATGGTGATGTTCACTTCACCTCTGGCATGAATTCTGATCTGTGATGCTCCGTTCGGCAACAGGCCCAAGAAGTTCATGCCAGGATCAAAGCCGTAGAACCACTTTGCACCCATGAACTTGCCACCATTTGGAATCTCATCGGCCTCAAGGTCGAGAACTGATGGCGGCGTGACTTGCTTGAACATACTGTCCACCATGGCCTGAGCGGAGTTGAAGTTGTACTGATGCCGCCCAGATGGGTCACCCAACTTGCGGTACTGAGCGGCAAAGGTGTCCAAAGACTTCTTGAGGGCTGCATCATTCAGGCAGTCCATGCCTGGCTGCCAATCCTTGATGAACCAAGGCTGCACCCAGCCAGGAATTTCTCCCACACCTTTCACCTCCTTGGCAGGAAGTGTGACATCTTTTAGATTCTCAATGAGGAAAACAGGGTCCTGCACAACAGGCTTTACCCTTGACCGAATCTCATCAGCGGCAGACTTTGCCTGGTCCCGAATGGCTTTCAAAGCAGCTTGTTTCTCCTGTTGGCTCTTTCTTGTTTCTTGTCTCTTTGCTTCACGCGCCCTTGTCTTCACATGCTCTGCTACATCGCTCGCAACCTTTGCAACAGAACTGAAAAGGGCAGTTGCGCTTGAACTGACACTCTGCCAGGAAGCCTTCAGATTCTCATAGGCTTCCACGCTCTGCAACTGCAATGCGCTACTCAAGTGCTCACGCATCTCTGCTTCACAAAGAAACCGGTCAGACTCTTTGAAGGGTAGCCTTTTTTGGTGCCCATCTCTTGTGCGCTCTCTGTGAACTGTGACTTGTCTGTGATCCTGCTATTTCCTTTGGGGATCCAAAGTTGGAGGCGCCCTTTGAAACCGTCATTGTCACGCTCAATACGGGGATCATTCAAGAAGTCTTTCCACCAAGCTTCTGCTTCACTCTTGGACAAAGCCTTTTCACCTGTCGCCCACTGCATGAACTCCCCTTCCCACATAGGTTTGCATTTTGAGCGGTCAATGATTTCGGTTCGCTTGCCATGTTTCTGTTTGAAGGCTGCCCAATCAATGAAATTCTTCCTTGCATACCGGCTGTCTGGTGGGTTGAGCTCACAAAACCTACAAATTTCAGATTTGGCTGTGTAATCATCCTGCATTGCCAGTTGGAAAGCTTTCACTGCGCCCTCCTCTCCATTACCCTCAGCCTTCTTAGCTTGATACGCCATTGAATCATAAGCCCTCTTGTGTAGTTTGCAAAACCTGGTGTTTGAGTGCCTGGCCTCTGGGCAGCATAAACATGGGCCTTTCCCAGTTCTACCACGACTTTCATTTGTGTTCACTATACGCTTCTACGCACATACGCGAACTTACGTCGGTTGTAAGGAATATAAACAAGCTTATGTATAAAAAGAGAATATATGGCTTCTATATTATATTCTTCCGTACATTCACTCGTGCTTTTAATTTATTTCTTTTTCGCTTGCTGGAAGTTGAGTAAGCTTGATTTTCGTTTGATGGATACTTTCACCCATCAAATGTGACACTCGCCAACGAGAGAAGCTCCCAGAGCTCCGCGGTTGCACCAGGATTGCAACTCTGCAACGAAGGCACGTACGATGCCTGGCTGAGAAATTTACGATGTACCGTGTGAAACATCAGCAGAAGTGAGAAGCCGTCTTCCGTTCGTAAGACAGACGTTGGAATTCATCGACCTGAGTTAGGTCGCCTCACCCTATTGGGAGAAATCAAGCAACAAGATGAGATGTTTCAGAACGATAGAGAAAGAGAGCAAAAGAACATACTGTTCCTCATGGTGAGGGTGGGAGGGTTTTTCAAATAACTCTGCATTGTAGTGAACACAAATCATCTTGAGCCAAAATTTGTTTGGGAAACAAATAGAAAGGATCGTTCGTAAAACATGAACGAACAAGTACGTTAACAGTTCTACCACGACTTTCATTTGTGTTCACTATACGCTTCTACGCACATACGCGAACTTACGTCGGTTGTAAGGAATATAAACAAGCTTATGTATAAAAAGAGAATATAAGGCTTCTATATTATATTCTTCCGTACATTCACTCGTGCTTTTAATTTATTTCTTTTTCGCTTGCTGGAAGTTGAATAAGCTTGATTTTCGTTTGATGGATACTTTCACCCAATGTCAACTATCAAAGGAAATATCATTCGCCAACGTACCCCCCTAAGAAGTGAAGGGTATTTCCAGCAAGGAGAAAAAGGAACACAGTCAGTATCGCTACTTCGGCAAAGACCAAGGTACATGACACCCAGGTGGAAAGACGCCAGGTTTCTGGTGATCTCGCCAAAGTTCTTTCAGTGGCAAGCGAACTCGATCGCTGAGCTGCATGCCACCCGGGGGCGAGGAATTGAAATCCCAGCGACTCAGGTTATCGGCAAGGACATTGTCATGTCCAGGGATGTGTCCCACGTCGATTTCCATGTTTGTCTGAGCACTCAAAAGACAAAGACGTTCCAAGAAGTAACACAAAGGCCGGTTCATGCTGAAAAGCTTGTTACTCGAGGCTTCGGCGCCTGTGTTGTCCGAAAGCGATTTCAAGCAAATTGGCGTTCGATGCCCTGGGAAATACTTGGACGTCATCAAAAGCAAAGCTATCTGTGCCAAGGTTTCTAGGCATGTGATGCTTTTTTGCAAATCCGGTTTGAGGTCAAGATGCAAAGCTTGAAAATCGTCCCAAAGAAACAGCTCACTAAACCAGAAGGATCTGCCGCTGCGGTCTGTGATGAAACCGCCAATCTGGCTCCGAGGACCTGAAGCCATAGCATCTGCTGCGGCCTGGCCGGACCAGTATACCTTAGGACGAAGAGGTTTCACTGGCGGTAGGAATTTGGGCCAATCTTCAAAAAGTTTCACAATTCGGAGTGAGTCATCTGATAACTTCCTGCGTGGACTGTTGGGGTCGCGAACACGCAACCAGTTTCTGTCCTTCAGGCGAACAGATTGCAGGCTGGCACGATCTGAAATTTGAGTGTGTCCGACTGAAACTAGAACTCCGCCTACAGGGAGGCCGGAATGAGCCGGCTGGTGCGCAAATTTTAATTCCGGCGTCAGGGCTGCTAGGACATGTGGCCAGTCCTCTAAACTCACACTGAAAAGAGAAGCAGGGATGGAATAGAGGTCTCTATACCAGTGGTGGATCCAAATCCGCATGTAGGGCCAAAGCTGGGTAAGCCACATGCAAATGCCGATGGTTTTTTCAAGCTTCTTTTTGGAAGTGCGAGAACTTGATTTGAGGTCATGTAGATAGTCAATGACTTTCTTGAGTTTGTCAGGGGGAATGGAAAGAAAACCACTACGGATGTGGAATGACCATCCAATCCATTTCAGAGTACTTGAAAGTTCGCATTTTTTCCAGGAGATTGGGATGCCCGTCAATAAACAGAAAATGCAAAGAATCGAAGCGGAGCAGGGAAGGATCTGGGCGTCCTGGTAAATGAAAAAATTGTCTACATAGAGCATGGCCACGTGGGCCAGCCAGATCAATCTGTGAAAGCACCGCAAGATGAATGCTCCGAGCCGGGACCACCAAGCCGCCGAAAAGGAAGCTCCAAAGGGGCACACTTTGTAGAAGTACAAGTTATTATCGAGAGTAAATCCGACTAAACCTTGCTCTTCTTCTTTGAGTACTATCCTTTTATGAGCTGACTTAATGTCAAGCGAAAAACCTGCAAGGTCCTGGCGAGATTGACGAATCGGATATGATCGGATCACATCCTTTGCTGATGGCAACGTCGACCGTTCTGGAATGACACAGCGATTGTTGAGACCGCATACGCTGTTATCTACAACAAGTCGCGGGGGGCGTGTCTCGGTGATCGCCACCCCCAGTTTGCCTACCGCCACACCACAAGGGTATGAGGCTTGGGCCTCAGCTACTGTGCCTGGAAAACGAAAAACCCAGCCTTTGTCGATCTCTTCCTGCACGAGTTCCCTAGTCAATTCAATGTTTTCCTCCGCGGACTGCCAATTGCTCATATGAATTGAGAGGGGTTCATTCAATTCGCGCGGTCTATCATTGGGTGGGAAACAACCAGATGGGGGGAAATCATGTTGGAACCCGGTGCTGACCCCATTCAACAGGTGCTGAAATAGATGAGTATCTTCATCCTTCATAATCTGGTTAAAGGCCTGCAGGATCCTGAGATACATCGGTTGGTTGTCCCTGATGTGCCAGTCGGGTTCAATGCCGTGGGATCGCAGAAAGGCTTCCAAGCTCTCTTGAAACGGACGCATATCCTGGTCAGAAAAGGGAGGGTCGGAAGAACCAGTACTACAAAAGGCAATGAGCTTCTTATCGAGTCTGTTTTGGATGACCATTTTCATCCAATTACGTCGAAGGGATTGAAAGACATCTGATTCCACCCGGGGAGCTCGGCTCCAGTCTGGTTGGGAAAAATTGCCGCCACCATCTTCAGAACTGCGAGGGAAGTCCGAAACTTCTTTAATCGGTAAGACCAGGTTCCGGGCAGTCCAACTGATGTCCTGATAGTTGGTGGACAACAATGGCAAAATGCAAGTGGCAAACTGTTCCGCCAGTGCGGCTGGGTAGCAGGCGGTGTCCTTGCTAAGGAAATCACCTGCGGCGTTTGTCTGACCTGCAATTCGGTTATGGAATCCTGGAGGGTGTAAACATTGACAGCCTAAGTGTCGGAGTGGAGGATAACTACTGGCGAACAGCCAATTCTTGTGCCAATTGCGGCCGAAATGACAGGCGGCGAAATTAGTGCAAAAAATCCCAACGTTGCTAACGAAATTTTGGGTTTCTGCTTCAAGCCAACTCATGGCCGAGGAAGGTTGTTCCAGGTGGACGTGACCGCCTGAGGAATGCACTAAAACCAAACACTGCAGGCAACGGGAGAGCATCATGTAGCTCTCCTGAACTTTGGCCAGTTCCGCTGGGGCCAGGCCTGCATGGCACACCTTTCAAGTGTTCAGGGGTCCGCAATGGAGGAGGTCCACCGTCCTGCCTCAACTTCAAACGGCTGTATTGGGAACAAGAAGGACTAGCTGCCCCGTACGCGATGGAACCACTGCTACACAGTTTGAGGAGGGCTTCATAGCTATCATCAACTAAAAGATTCATCTGGGGGTCCAGCAACAAATCAAATGAAATCACATCTGCATGCAACGATCGAACGGCTGTCGAGAGAGGTCTGGAAACTCCTGCGCATATGTCCAAAAAGATGCGGTATGAGTTCACATGTTGCGATAGCTCTTGCATAGCGGGGGAAATGACTGGGGCAAGCAAAATGCCTGGAGTTGGTGATACGGTTGGTGGTTCAGTCAAAGGATTGCCTAGGGCAGTCCCGTCGTGCATAGGAAAGGATCCATCATCTAATTTCTCCGTCTCTGGTGCAAAATGCACCTGCCTGGATGATTGGGCCTCTGCGGCAGCACTCGCTGGAGCTGCCTCCGTGTGATCCACGTCAGCCGACTGTCACTGAGGGACCTTCTGATGGTCCACCGCGGTGTGGCCTTTGCCGCAAGCTGAACCGTCCGGTAGTGGATACGCACATCCATGGATAAATGCGCAATTGGATCGCTGGCACTTGCCCACCTGCCATTGCATGCATAGTTGCTTAAATGAACCATCTGACTGCTTGAGCTCAGTGACCCAAGTCACTTTGCCCTTGCCTGCACCTTTCCCTTTGCCCTTCACGGATGATTTCCCCTTGCCTTTTACTCCCTTTGGGGAAGAGAGAATTGAACTTGAAGTCCATGTCGGAGGTTGCTTTGGGATCTTGGGCCGGAGCTGCAATAGGCCTGGCAGGTCATGTCTGATGTGGGTCATCTCGTGAAGGGCGTTGTCCATGGTCCAATTTCGATCATTCATCAGGTCACACATGATGCGCCATACCTGACGGTCTGCTGCTTGACTCTCCACCACATTTGCGGTACGGAGCCCACTTTCCGAATCCACGCGTTGAGTGAGGAGGGACATGAATTTGTGTGTATATTCCTTCAAGTTCGCCAAATGAGCTCCACCGCACATTGCGATGGCAACGTTGTGGACTTCCATCATGACGCGAATCGCGTTCAGTCCCATGCCTTGGTTGGTGATCTCTAAACTAGGAACTTCATCTAAGAGCAACTGGCTCAGCGCAATGCCCTCGATGCGAGGTTGTTTGGCTGCTCGCTGTGTCTGAACTTCCTCTGAACGAGCCAAACTCATACGGTATTTCCAGGGTACCCACACCCAATGCTTCTTCTGCAGTTGATGGTGCACCAGGCTCAATAGCCGAGTGGATGGAGTCGTATCGGCATTGAGGAGTTCTGAAGGATAGTCCTTGATGAATTTAGATTTCAATGCATGAATGGTGGCATTGTCTAGCTTCGGTGCGAACGTCTCCGTCCAGGAACCCGCACTTGAAGAAATTTGCGTATCCTCGGCGCGCGATGGGGCGGATGGCTCCGCATCAGCTTGCTGGCACCTTTTAAAGGCTGCGCGCAACGCAGCTTTCTGAAGCATGCTGAGGTCGTGTCCGCTGCACATCTCTGACAGATGGCTGTCGAACTCTTGCATGGTCAACGCTGAACAGCTAAATGTCTCTGTAGTCCATCCTTCCGATAGGATGTGATTGCTCAACGCCGGGTCGACCCCGGTAGCTGCCAGAACGTCCTCTAATGTAGGACTGGATATATCACCACAGGTGATGAACGCTGGCCATGGCCATCTAAATGCACGCAACGCAAGAGAAAAGGAAAAACCTTGGAAAGGCCAAGCTGGGATCGTATTGTTGCTCTGTGGATGATATGTTAGGTCGGGTGGTGTGTGGTTGTTATATGTTTTCATATTTTCTCTATTTCTTGTTGTCCCTTTTTCTTTCTCTTGGATCGGCCCGGCAGAAAGAAGAGTCCCTACGGGACATGATGCCTGGAGCCCAGGCTCGATGACCGACCCCTACATCAAATGCTGATGATGCCACGAGCTTGCAGCTGCATTTTACATCTTTTGGGCCCCAAAACAGGCGTATCTGATACGGCTGTTTCTCTGTCTCGTTTTGCCATTTAAAATGCTGACGATGCACCCATCTGGTGGTTGCATGTTTTGCATTTCTGGTGCCCCACAAGAGGTATATCTGATACCCCTGAAGAAAAGAAATTAGAGATGGGGATGTTTGCACATGGTGTGGGTAACCTTTGGAACGCAACGCACAAAGGAGAAACATGAGAAAGGGAAAATGTCAGGGTACGCGCAGAAGAGATCAACTTGCGGTATTGCAGCCAATGGCGTCTGTGGAATGAGAAAAAGATGAACATGAAAAACAAAGCTCATCGCCACAGAAACACTCACTCTTTTTCATATTGCGCTCTCAGCTCAGGGCTCCGATGGCAATCCACCCCTTTCGGCAACCTGGATGCATACAGACGGATTGGCCGGATTTCAATTCCAGGAAATCGGTAATAGAGAATTGCACTGAAGAGAACTTGCGACCACAAGCCGTGATGATGGGCGCAGCATCGGGCTGTGTGTCTGAGGTCGAAGACGATTGCTGCGCGACTATGTGCCACATATTTCGATATATGCCTACCGTAGCTTCATCGGCCGTGATTGATGGCCGGGACTTCTGTTTTTTGGTGGGTACTTTCGCCACCGAGTTGGAAGAGGCTCCACTAAACTCTGACGACGACGAGTCATCCGAAGACAAGTCAACACTGTCTGCTTCCAGTTCAAACGCAACTGGACACAATTCTGGCTGAAAATTAAAGAACTGCCATGCGTGAGACGGTGCCTCTTTATGGAAGCTCTCTAATGTGAACCCGGGCTCAACGAGGGGGAGCTGGCCCCCCCTTTGAAGGGGGGTCTGAGGGCGCCATCCGGCTTGCACTCGCTGAAGGATTTCGGACTGCAGTGACAAGGATCCTGCCACGTCATCTCGGCTGTACAATCGTGTTGATTGCAATGGATCTTTATGTTTGCCTTGAAGGCGTCTGAGTTCAGGACTAATGCCTAACTGTGAAGCCCAACTGATGAGCGTGCTCTTTAGGCCGTGGACGGTGTAATGCGTCACATCCGGAAACACCAGCTTGGAAGATCGCCAGGGGAGTTCTATAAAACGTCGAACAAAGTACAATGCCTCCGGGTAGGTCATTGGCGTGAGTGGCGCGCGTGGCCCGTTTTCATCAACACTCGGAAGCAGAAAGTCTATCTGAGAAGGATCACTGTGGCGGTAAACAGCATCAAGTGTAATCAAAAATTTGTGAACCCAATGAAAAGAACTCTTGCTCAGGAATCCGCTGCATTGGATGCCCCATGGGACTCCACTAGTGCACGTCTTGGTGCGCCACGCCAGTCCTCTGAGGGTGGAACTGTCATACTGCCACCTGTGGAGCATCATACGTTGAATGTCACCGAAACGCATGCCGGAAAATGACATCAGCAAAAAGGTTCCTAACACCAAGATTTCCGTGATGGATGCTTGGCTAGTCAAAATACGTCTTTCCCATTGCGCTAGCACTAACAAAGGATAGACTAGCGACTCTTTGCGGTCACGGATCACAATTTGCTTAGTGAAAGACGATATCAATGGTGCCATGCAAAACTGAAAGCACGAAAGTTGCAATTGCTTCCAACCCCATCGGATGGATTTCAGTGTGAACGTCGAGAATTTCTCTGTCTCCGAGGTGAGAGCAAGAAGTACGTCAGCTAGTATCACTTCAGTGATGTCATGAAGAGAAATCCGCATGGCTGCACAGGCTGTCGCAAAACTCAAAAGCATGGACATGTAACGAAACACTGTGGCCGGGGCAAATCCATCCAGGATACGGAGCAAGTGACGATCAGCATTCTCGCTGGCTTCAAGCTGAATCAGCAAGGGAGACAATCCGGCAAAGACATGCAAGAATTGTGGAATCAGTTTCATAATCAGCTTACTCTCACTAGGACGCTGAGCGCGGGACACGTTCTCCGACGTAGCAGGGACTGCTCGTAGATGAGGTGGGCGTTTCAATGACGCTCGAATCAAAGTTGACTGCTTTGAAGGTGTTTCAAATGTGGGACAAATCACGGGCGGACTACGAGGGGGTAGGTCCCTGGGAAGGGAAAGGCTCAATCCTATGTGACGCAACTCTGATGGACGTGAAAGAGATTCACATTCCAACGAACGGATATCGAGGTCCGGGCCCTGTTAGCGCGATGGCGTGGGCGGAGGTCTTTCCAAAGGAGATGCACCTGACAAGTCCGCGACGGTCCGAGATGCTCGAGCGCTCGACGGGGCGTTGGAATGGGCAGGATCTACACTATGTCTGGCTGGTATACGAGGGCCTATGGGTTGAACCGGACGCTCAAAGGGAGTCGGATCGGGATCCTCGATCTCTTCCCACGACGACGCTGAAGCTCCCATGGATGAACAGCTGCAGATTGCTGATGCTCTCAAGCAAGCTCAGGGAGACACGACCCTTCAAAAAGAAAATGACAAGGTCTGATAAACACAGATACTGCACTTGAGCATGGCTCTGACTGAGGCCCGGATAATCGCACCATGCGCCCCAAAGGCTCGAGATGGACCGCCCGATGACGCGACACCTGTCAAAACACCTAAAAGACGCCTACAATATATGCAGTTTGAAAGTGCCCAAAACTAGCCGAATTTGGCATTTCCCAGCTCAGACATTTTTTCAAATAACTCTGCATTGTAGTGAACACAAATCATCTTGAGCCAAAATTTGTTTGGGAAACAAATAGAAAGGATCGTTCGTAAAACATGAACGAACAAGTACGTTAACAGTTCGTGCCCCAGCCCCTCGTTTCTTTGTGTCATGGTCATGCTCCTGGTCAGCCTGGTCCTGCGCTTTGTCTTCTTGTTTCTTCTTTGCCTTGGATTTGCTTTTGCCTTTTGCCTTTGCTTTAGGAGCTACTCCTGCAAATTCTACCTCCATGTCTTCAGCTGTTCACAGCACCCAGCGAGCCTGACTAAATTTACGGGCTTGGCTTTAATGTTGCGCAATGTGTTGAACACATAATCACAAAGTAGCAGAGAGCAAAAGAAAAACTGCCCCTTATTGTTTACAACAAAGGTTGGAAAGAAACATGACAGAGACATGTTTCGTGAAATTCACTAGAAGCCATTGACTTGAAACAGACTTAAGCTTTGCAGCTTTACTTTGTTTGCTGGCCGTGTGTTGAAAAAACACACCGAATTTCTAGCTCACTTCAGTGAACAGTGAACACCTTGGTTGAAACAGCGGAGGCCTCAGAACAATGTTTGGGAATCTTGGGATTCCTGGGAATCATCAACCATGATGACTGGAGTCCCCATCAAATCAGAACTCGATCCCTTCTGCATCATGCTCATGGTCAGTCGTGCCACTGGTTGCATGTTGGATAGCACATACGTGACCCACGCTGCAATGGCTGGGAGAGACATTCCGTTTCCGGACAAGCTCACAATTTCAGAAGGCGATAAGGACTGGAAGAGTGGCAACAAGGTGGCTCGGTGTGGGTCTGCCTCCTTGGGAAAGACGTGAAAACCCTGCGCAAGCAAATGTTCGAAAGGCACAGCAGGCCTGGAGTGGTTGAAGGAAACAATAGTCCCATGTGTCAGCTGGCAGGGGAAGAAGGGCCCTGCCACACTGCAGCCTGTTTCAGGCCATTGCTGGCAATCACAAATGTAGCAAGTGTCGTAGATGGACTGCTTCTCAACCCTGTCCAACTCATAGGCAGCAAGCCTTTGCGATGCTCCAGGAGGCAACGTTGACACCAACAAGTCTTTATTGAAGACCAAAGCCTGCCCAACATCAACAGGCCCTCCTCGTCTCTTGAGACGGGCAAAACAATCTGCCCTGACCATCTGGTCTGGAGCAGTGAAGAAGCAGTCACCGGTAAGTTTCGTGCTTCGCTGGAACAAGGCATCGAACTCAGCCTGGACCTCTGCATCTGTCAGTGGTCCTGTCCACTGCCACCTGACAAGGTCAAATAATGGTTTTAAAAAGACTGGGTCCACCAAAACAAACAGTGACACATCAAAGCATAGACACCATGAAACCTAGCCCAGCCCTGGCCTCTCCCTGTTCAAAGCTGCTGTGAAAGACCTGGGTCTACTGGTCGGCCATCCTTGGAGCTCTGGTCCTGTGACCACCTTCAAGACATGATGTGACTCCGCAAGAGGCTCACGCAACTTCCATATTGGATAGGCTGGCACACATTCCTGGATGAAGAGGTCTTCAACACCCTGACTGGCTCTCTCCATTCTCTCTGACAACCAGACAGAGTGAACCCGTTCAGATTCATGTGCGAAGTATGCACGGGATCCACAGTTGGACCATCCCTTGCACACAGTTCCTGCAAAATGAATCCGCAAAGGATGGTGCAAAGGCGCTGAATTGATGGAATCCACCTCTTGGCTGTCAAACTCATCATGCAAGCATGACTCACTCAACAAACGACACTGCCTGTGGTGCACTAGACACCATGACGTTGCAAGCTTTTGGAACAAGGTTCCTCGATTCTCACACAAATACTTGAACATGGCATGATAAGCAGCAGCTTTGTCAGCCGGGTAAGCCTCTGCGGGTGGAGACAGGCTATCAAGGTGGTTCAAGCACTCTTCTCCCAGCCTGTCTTCCAAGTTGCCAAAAACGCAACTCCTGCCACCATCGATATGCCTGGCTAGCCATGTCAAGCATTTCTGAGGGCCTGGCGCAAGATCACACGCGTGAATGAAGCTGAGTGGTACATACGTTTTGTACTTTGTCCTCATGATCTCACAGATCTGAACCAACACTTCCCTGGGGCAGTCCATGCCGCTGTAGGCTGAGGTGACCTCAAGGCCTCTACCCAAACAATGGAAGAGCCTGGCCTTTCGCTCCTCACTCCCAACAATTTGGCGCAGCACATAGCTGGGCCACTCCAACAGCCCTTCTACACTTGTTGGCCCGTCAGGCAAAGTTTCCATCACCTTGTTGAATTCAATTCCTCCTTTCCTAAGCAACTTTGCCCTTTTGAGCGGGCGGCCTTGCTCAATTGGAAGCAGACCATGGATATCAACCATCGGTGCAACCCAACTACCTAAAACTGCTCACCCACACTTGAGCAACAAAACCCCTGGTTTCTACAACTGTTCATGTCTTGGTCCCTGAACCCAGTAGTCTGAAACCAGTTTCACAATGAACTGACCATCCAAAGGTAAAAGTAAACAAAAAGAAAAGCAAAACCCAGGCCCCAAGGAAAAATAAAGAAATGGTGGTTTGAGAATAGATCTGTTTCGAGGCGTTTCGAGGCGTTTCGAGGCATTTCGAGGCAGTCTTCAGGCGCGAATGAAAACCATCAAAAAACGCTAGAGCAATCTTCAAAACTGCAGCCCTAGGTCACAATCTGGTAGGGTAGCACGTCTAGTTCTGTAGGCCTGGCCAGTGGTCACAGATAGGCCCAAAACAAGAATCATCCTGGGAAAACCTTGGCTGAATATATGATTTCGAGGCGTTTCGAGGAGGGATGTCCGGATTGAAATTTCAATGTTTTTTTTAGCAAACGCTAAAAAGGAAAAGAATCCACAAATCTCAAACCAATTTTCTCGAAATGCCTGAAGTCAGATCAAGCGGTCAAGCGGAAGCATGAAACACCTTCATGCCAATAAACTCCAGAGCCCCACTCTGGTTGAAGTCAAAGGCAACTGTTGAAGTTGCTAGTGACCAAGATTGGCTTTGATCCCCTAAAGCCTGCAACCCCAATGTGTAAGTGTGGCCTAACTACCTCTCTTCCTCTTAGGGCCATTGGCTGTGGAGGAGGCAGAGGCAGAAGAACCAGACATACCACCGGAAACTGGCCAGGAAGTGATTTTGGCAGCTTCCAACTCAACATCGCTCCAAAGCTTGTTCTCGGCGTACGCTTTGAGCATGTCCTTCCAAAGAGCATTGTGCTCTTGTTTTGAAGCAACAGATTGGCCAGCAACAGCCCACATCTTCAACATCCTCAAGCATGAGTCTGCACCTCCTTCGAAACGTTCACTCCTGGACTTTGTGCACAAAGCTTGGTGTTCAGGATTGTGAGCTGGATTGGTGCAAATGATCTGGAATCCACTTCCACCTGCCTTTCGGTCAAAATACCTGATCCTAAAACAGCCCCAATGTTCAAACTTGAATCGCCCTCGGGACTTGGGTTGATCTGTCTTGTCTTCAGAAGGGAGTGACGGGAGGGTGACTTTCGGTCTCTTAGCAGCCTTCTCTTCAGAGACTGGCTCAACCTCCTCCTCATCAGAGGAGGAAGATGAAGACGATGAAGAGCTGCTTGATGAACTTGTGGAACTTGTTGAGCTACTAGATGAGGGTGAAGAGAGTGGGCTGAACCCAGAAGCTGAAACCAGTGTCTGTCCCCCATCTGACACTGGATCATCGTTGACAACAGCATTGTCAACAGCATCCTCAACAGTTGTCTCTTGCTGGGTGTCTGTTGCTTCGTTTGTAATCATGTTTGTTGTCCTCTTCGGTTGTTTTCGCACTGTTGAACCTCGTTTCATTTTCAATGGTGAGTCAGGCAACTGCAGTTCAGGGCAGAAGTCCTCACCAATGATGAGAAGTTTTTTCTTGGGGCTCTTTTTTGGGTCACCTGACTTTCACAACTCAGACCCAGCAGTTGCTTGTAAACAAGTTCTTTCTCAAAATGCGGCACGTCCTTTCCATGTTCAGAAGCTGTTAGCAAAGCAACCAAATACAAATGCGAGACAGATAAAGAACCTTCCTTTGTCAGCCACTCCTTTTTGCCCCCATCTGTGAAAGGAAGTTTCTTACAACGTTTGCTTTCTTTCGCTGAAACAACCCTCTGTTGGAACCCTGCAGCCTGGAGCTCCAACACAACTTCATAGGTGCTCATGTCTAGCGGCTTAACCTCCTTTGGTGGCCGGTCCAAGAATTTCAACCCCCCTGTGACATCCACGCAGGTCTCTACCAGGTGGACACCTTTGTCAGTCAATTTGACTGAACACTCATTTGAATCCATTTCCACAATCACCCCATCTCGAAGCAAACAGCTAAGGAGCTTCTTCTTGAGATTGGAAGCCTTGCCTACATGAATGCCACATGGTCGGTTCATCATTTTGGCAAGCAAGACTGGCACCTCATCATGGACATCAGGTGGCAACTGGCGTAAATAATGGAACGCAAATGTGAAGGACAAGTGATCTTTGCTCCTCCACACTTTCATCTCCCTCAGCTGCTCAAGAGAGAGGCACAAAGAGTTCAACACAAGTGGCACTTCATCACAAGAAACATTTGCAATTCTCATCGGTGACAGACTCAAAGTCAACACTTCTGCAGTTCTGTCCACTCTCAAACATGGATGTGTTGCGACGGCCAAGCACCCGCTCAAGCTTTGCTCCCCTGCAACTTTTTCTCGATGGGCCTGAGCTAAATTACCTTGTGCCTGCAGCTTCCAAAACACCAACCTTTGAAAGTCTTCAGGGACTGGCCCAGAGTCAACACCTGACAGTGGCACTGAAGAATAGAAGTCTGTACCCCCATCCCCCTCAGACACTACCAACCCGCCTCTTGAGAAATCAATCTCTGGGAGAACCCCGTCTTTGGGAGGAACCAGCAAATCCTTGAGGGCCTTGAAAGCACCACCAGACATTGGGAAGGATAAGAACTCATTGCGTTGGGCCCCTTGCCGAAACTTGTCCCGCACATGCTTCTGGGCAAGATCAAGTTCAAGGGTTTGATCCTTTATTGCTAGGGTTTGCTCATGGGACGGTGGTTTGTCACAAGAAAGCTTCGGCTGGGTCATGGTGTACTTGACATGTGTGTCTGCGTGGTAAATAATCTTCACGTAGCCCGTGTCTCGGCAGTGCTTGCAATCTTGTGAGTCCGGGTGGCAATCCAAATTCAACAAGTTGACAGAGGCAAAGCTTGAGCGAGCCTTTTGCACATGGCGAGCCAAAGCAACTATGGTTTCAGGGTCATCATCTAACTTGCACTTGATCTCGCCTATCCGGTGCAACAGTGACACATAAGGGCAGGAATGGTGGGGAGCATGAGAAATGCCCTTCTTGGAGGTTGCGTGTTTGCCTTCAATGCGCCTCTCCACTACAGACACCATACGCAGTGTGGCCATGCATTCTCGCGCACACCTCAAAAAATTTGGATCCTCACTGTTGAACAAAACATCCGGGTTAGTTCTGAACTCCTCCAACTCTTGTCGCAAAGGATTTTCCTTCAACTTAGAGATTTGGGGGTGGCAGGATGTAGACTCCAAAGCTTGCTGAAGGATCTCCAAACTTGCTTGGCCATGTGTATCTGCCAGCCCGTGCACTACCCATGGAAAACCTTTCCAATGACTTGTCTTCAGAGCCATCTGAAACAGAATGTGTGACCTCCCACATTCGAAGTCACTGATGATTGCTGCCCGCTCCTCATGGCTGACGGTTGGTCTCATGTTGAGGATGAGGTTGGCTGAAGTCATCTGGCAAAGCCTTGCAACATGCATGGAAAGCAGGACATGACATTGAAAGCAGTGGACTCATTAGCAGAAAAAGAGCTTTATGTGGAAACAGTGCAAAACAACACTGAACATGTTTGTCTAGAAACTCCTGCAACATTGAGTGGAACTTCCCTGACGCTAACTCTGCAGCTCGCTTCCCTCTCATGGGGCATGACTCCCACAGTCTTCTGAGCTCAACTGGGATCCCCTCAGATTGCATGACCTCCCAGTGACAAGGACAACCTTCTGCCCAACTCATCAACTGTGTTTGCAGTTTGGCAAACTTACACAACATGGTGATGTACGCCCAAAAAAAATCACTGCCAATCGCATCATCGACGACAACTAGGTTTGAAGACTCACCTCTCACACACGCACTGCTGGTTCCAGAATACTTGTCCAAATCCCACATGTGTCTCAAACTACTTTCACAGCGATTCAGCTGCAAAGCGCAATGAGACACAGTGCCCCAACGCTCCTCATATACATGTCCTGAGAACGCTTTAATCTCAGAGGCCAAGGCTTCACCAAGCATGCCTTTGTAACAGGTGGCTAACAAACGTTCCTTCGTTTCAGGCCGATCAAGCAGTGCAGCTACTTCCTTAAGCCGGTTGATTGTTTCCTGAAAGTGCACCATTGCCCCCCCCAGGCCCAAAAAAGCATTGTGTAGAATGTGCAAGAGACCAGGCACACTTATACTATGCTCACAGTCGATATGGGGTTCTTTCTTGGGTGAACCAGGAACTGCCACTGAGAAGTCTACTTCATCTTGTTGGTAAGTGTCACCTCGCTGCTCAGATTCAAGAATGTATGGAAACAGAGCCCGCAAAGGCATGCGGCGCACATGTGCGAAACCAGCCTCAGTCCCATAATCAGACACCCAAGTGCAAACTGAACTTGTAAACTTTTCCAGGTTCTCACTAGGCCCAGCCATCAAATACAACGCGTGCATTGCTGCATGGAACTTCAATGCCAAAGTGCTCCGGCCTTTGCCTAGACCAAGCAACACAGGAGGAGGTGTGAACACATGACAGCAGCTACAGATTCGATTCATGATCACCTTTTCTTCTTGCAGGTTTTGAACACGCTCCTCAAGTGAGAGGTTCGACATCCGTTCCAAAGCAAGGATGTCCACATGCAACTGGGCCAAATCACGTTTCCTGACAATTGACACTTGCAACAATTCGTAATCATGCCCACCCTGTGGGCTTGAATCAACCATACAATTCACAACAACACCCCCTTCTACATTCAACATCTTGTCAATAGTGTTGCGGGTCATCATCATCCAACCCACATCTAGTTTCAAGCGTAAACGCGAAACAGTTGATGGAGATGGGACCGGCCTTTTTTTATTGCGCAACATGTTCAATACAACGTCTTGGATGTGCTTTGGCAGAGCAATTCGGCAAGCATGTTGCACAGCTTCTTCCAATGATTTGTCAGACTTCAACAAATCACAAAGCACAAAGCAGTGCAGCAAATAAAACACGTTGTATGAATCTTGACCTGCCTGAATCACAGCTTCGTCATGTCCATAAGCCACCTGCATCCCTGAAACATGCTGCTGCAAAGACGCTGTTAACACATGCAGGTCCTGAGTCATTCCGGCTGGCATGTCCCTCTGCATTTCTTGGTCCATACCATTGAAGAGTTCCTGAAGGTGACGAGCATACTTGGACGCAATGTCTGCCTCAACTATATTTTCAATTCTTGGGGGAGGTGGGAACCGTGTGATTGGGAGCTGGTCAGGAACCCACAAAGACCCAACAGACCACCCTTTGAACAATGAAGACTTCAAGTCGCAAACTGCAAAAGTTGTCCAAGCACCTGAAGCGCATAACCTGGCCACAAGGCCTGGGAGTTGCACCATTCCCTCAGCTAGGTTGTTTCTCAATGCGTCAGTTAGCCATTCTGGAATCGGGGTTTGGGAGAAGTCACTCAGAAGCTCCAGCAGTCTATCCAGCTGGCCTTCTTGCAACGTTTGGAAAAAAGTCCTGTTCTTCCTCACCCCAACTCTTTGCACAGGCATGGGCTCCTGCAACTGCACTTGAGCCTTGATGTTGAAAAAAGTCAAGACACCATGCATACTTTCCTTGGCTGGAAACAATCTTCGGTACATATCCAATTGCAAAGCCTCTTCATGTGTCAACAACCGCAAAGAATCATACGCAAAGTGTGGTTCCACGAGGGCAGCTGTTAGGATATGGTCTGGGAGTTCTGTCTTCCAGTCCAGGCCCCTCTGTTCACACTCTGACTTGATGCCAGAAGTGCTGGCTGCTACATTGAGGTTGCACCGGCGTGTTTGAAACACAGTGCCGGTGTCAACAAACGTGTCTGGCACCCTAAAGACAGTGTCCGGTGAAGAAGCTATCCATACCACTCTTTGGTTCCCCTCATGCACCATGGCTTCTTCCAAAAAAGGATGTTCAAGGTGTCTACCAACAGTGACTCCTGTTCCAAATTCTCCCAGTAAGATTCACGCATCCACTTACTTCTAGCGGATCTCCAGGTTTCGTTTCATGAAGGCCCTTAGTCTTGAGTCTGATGCATGAAAATAGAACCTAGCCTGTACCTAGAACATCCACATCCACCCTTAGGTGAGAGTCATAGAACACTATGGAACACACTGTCAGCACAAAGAACCAACATGGCAACAAACACGCAAAATTGCACAAGCAAAAAACTCAACATAGACAACAACCTCGTGACTCATATTTCAACACATTTCAACACTGTCTTTGTAACACGTTTAACACATGTTTGTCTCGTCGTTTTGGCTGCAATCACGGCTCCTGAGCTCTGGCCAAGCTACACAAACAAGCTCTGGCTGCAGTAATCAAGTCTATATACGCTATGCCAATCACAACTCCAGGTTTTAAACAAAACCAAAAAAATCATGTCTGTCTGAAAGGCCATCAAGTTTCCATCCCGTGTGATTGGTTTCGTTTAAGTTAAGAATATGAACTGGGCCGCTTCACTTCCTTACGCACACCCTGGACTGACGTTGCAGAGGCCCTCAAAATCTCAATGTGGGAACGGCCCCGGCGTTGACCCACACGACGAGCAATGCAAGACCTCTGGGACTTGGACTTGAGCTGAGATATCTGACACTTCAACTCTTCCACTGCCTGCTTCAGTTCCCGCAGCACATGAAGTTGGGTGTGCTGCATGGACAGAACGGAAGACAAGAAGCTCTTGTGCACTTCATCAAAGCCACAAGGCTCACAATGAGAGGCCACACCACGCTCCTGCTCCCGGCCTGCCTGTTGAGTGTTGTTTGCACCCTGTTTGAACAGAGATGCAGCAACACATTTTGGAGGCTCTGGGAGTCCAAGGTCTTCACTTGATGACGTTGTCATGCGCTCCCATGAATCCTCACTATCATCGGCCCTCATGGTGCTTGGGCTTTCCTAGCTCTTCCCCAAACAAAAAGCTGCGGGCACGTCCATACACAGCCAAACTCAACAAGAACCCCTTGAAAGCCTCAAGCATCTCACACACCTGAAGCCTAAATTTGGCCTTTTGTTGCCTCCAGCAAACTTCCAGTATTTTCACAGCTCTCAGCCATCTCCAAAGTTGCATTCTAAAAACATTACCTTGACGCCTCTGCAATCTTTTGCGTGTGTGTATGTGACATACTGTGAATGTGAGTCATGCACACATGCACATGAACTAAATACAACAAAGTGTGAACAAAATGTCTAAACACCACTAGAGACCAGAGGGCAGCACGTGTCAGTGTGTGTGCGTTCAACACTGAGGCAGAGGGTGGAGGGCCAAAACAAAAGCTGGGTTAGCGCAGTTGCAGTTGCAGTTAGGTCACCACCACACACGCCACACACTCAAGCGCGCACACCTTTGAAACACACTTGTTTTTTTTCACAGGACACTTCTGAAACCCAAGAAGCTTAGAAACTCAGGAGTCTGTCTAGTGAGTTAGTGAGGCATTGGTCCTTGAATTCTTGAAACCATCTCCAAAGAAAAGATTTCAAAAAATCTATGAGTTCCATACCTTCTGGTCATGGGTTGCAGATGAAGCTGCCACAATTGACCTTGCAATTGCTGACAACCAGGTGGACCATCACAACGACAAGGCTGCCGCCATTGACAGCTACCCTGTGGGCCCCGTGGGCAAAACACCCCAGACCAGCTCTGAAAATACTAACCCCAAAATCCCAAAACCAAGTGGAAAATTACCAGGTCAGGACCCATCGACCGGTAACATAGTTATCGATCTTGCGCTTTCTTCGGTCACGATACTTCATCGCAGTAAAGTCTAAAAAGCTGCGAAACTCCTCTAGTTTGGCTTGCTTGATCTCCTTGGCATACTTCCGGAGCACTTCCGGAGTAATCACACTCTCTGCCTTCGGCGTCTTCTTAGCCGCTGTCTTCGCAAGATATTGGCAGAATTGTGAGAAACCTTTTGGATCATACGAGTTAAAACTCGGAGGAGCTTGGTTCGGACCTATAACACAAAAATCCATATAGTCAAAACTAACAAAAAGATTTTTCTCATCGTCCAGATCTTTGTCTGGATCCTTCTCAAAACCTTTCACATCCTCTTCGTCAAAAATAGGTTCTGAATCTGTCTCATTTGAATCAGTCGTCTGATTATCGTCATCTTCGACTGTGCTCGGAGGCACGGGAATGTCGGCCGCTTGTGGCTGATTCGAACTTGATGCTGTCGGATTCTCCGAATGTCCAGGAAGGAAACTTTTCGGAACAGACTTCGGAGGTGCCGGAATAGGTTCATCATGTCCCGGCAACTGAACCTTAGAACGTTTAACCTGAAACTTCACCTTGGCTTTTGGCAAAGCATCAGTTGAATCCACAGAAAGCTTCCGCATGTGCTTGCTGTGACGTTCACGATTCTCCGGAACATATGGTTCTGGCTCCGGCGTGTTCGAATCTGGCGACGGAGTAAATGGATGAACGGGATCCGTATCGATTGGAAACCCTATCGGTGGCTGACCCGGATCATCTGGCGGACGGGATTCACTCGAAATCTCCGGCATTGCCTCTTCCGGATCGCTTGATGGATATCCAAGTTGCTCCAAAGGAACATCGGGATTTCCGAACTGATTCGGACCAGCTACGGAACCTGTCGGAGGTGGTCCCGGAGGTTGTCCACCCTGATGATCATCAGGGTTGCCACCCAGTCCATCATCAGGCGGATTCATATCTTCATCATCTGGATCAAAATACTGCTGTTCCCCCGAGACTGGAATTGGCTCATAAGCCATATCATCATCCATCGGTGGTCCGTAGTCTGGGGTTTGATCTCTTGGATCCTCTACACCTACTTCATGTGGAGTCACAACGCGCTTCACGGCGCCTGTCGTCTCTGCTTCGAAAACTGTCATACTCCAATGATCTACAACAAACTGTTCATGATGAGGAGACAGTTGTGACACAAACATAAAGAAAACCTGATGATATTTCCCTGGCTTCCACATAATCAATACTGCATCATCTTCAGAGTTGAGGAGAGGATGCACTCTACCAAAGGTACCACGATAAACCTTACATCTCTCAAAATACATCTGTGGCAAGGTTCTTCGTCTGATCTCCTTCAGGCCTGGAATCAATGACACAATTCGCGAATCAGAGGATGTTGTCACATCAAACTCTGATCTCTGAGGTAGTGCATCTACCTGCCTCAAGGTTCTGATCAGTTCAGTAGTAGTGAACCTTTGTGGTAGTATATGTCGAAGTGGAACCGGAATTTCCGTCGTCTCTTCCGTTCTCACGGAATTCAACAAAATTGACTGATGAGCTTCTCTCTCTAACAAAAGAGCTGTTCCACACAAACTTCCAGAGTCAAAATTCTCCAGAAGATCTTCAATAAGGAAACTCTGACGCTTGTCGGAAGTCTCACTATAAGGAAGAAAACGATTCATCTCAACCAGACATGAAAATGGAAACTTCTTCCAGTCAGGATCCTTAAAGTACTGGTTGCTTCTAGTGGCTTGCACTGTTTTAGCTTGAAATGAACAGTCACCAATACCTTTCCATCCTTGGCAGGATGCATAGGAATGGAAGACTGTCACGTAACTAATTCCCTTAGGACAATAGCAGAAACAATTCATATTCACATCAAAAGTAAAGACCGGATTCTTCAAAGACGAAATGAACTTCTGCAAAAACAAACAAAACTTGTTTCCCTTGGGAACAGTCGCAAACACATGTTTCTTCCTTCTCAACTGCCACTCGATCACATTACAACATAGCAACCAAATAGACGCTCTGTTCTGTTTGGGAGAAGGGTTGTTGATCACTATACAGTGGGGCTGCAAACTCTCAAGTTGCTGCCAAATACCATCTTGACCCTTCAGAGTGGAAAAGTTATATCCTGCCTTGAAATCCATAGGCGATGCAACTCTAACTCCATTCTTTGAAAGGAACCAAGATAATCCACTGTTTCCATGAAGTAACTCAACAACGTCAGGATGATCATCATTACAGAAGAAAAAGGACTGTTCTCCAAATTCGGCATCAACATACAGTTCGTGATCCTCACGTAAGTTCTCCGGATTCTCATCGTCTAATGCCGGTATGGAAACATCATGCCACTCATCATGATCACGTCTAATCTTCGACTGATTCACACGTACCACTGCCTTACCAGTGTTGGCTTGGACCATAGCTCCTTCTTGTCCAAGTACTGTGGCACGAACCCAACGTCCTTTATCCTTGAACTTTGATGAATCCTGAGTCCAAACAAAAACCTTCTCTCCTTGAAAATATGGACCGTCACTTGGCATAGTCCTTCTTGCAAGATCTGCTCGAAGGTCCTGAGCTTGTCGTGCTTCTTGATGAGCTCTCAAAGCTACACGTTGTAGTTCCAGATTTGTACGATCTTGTGCGGCTGCACTAGCTGACAATTGCTCAGGGCTTGCGGTCTCAAGGTCAAAAAGATCTGGTGGACGTCTTCCAGTTGCTATCTCTATAGGTGAATATCCACTGATAGTCAACTGACAATTTCTTGCCCACACTACTTTCTTGACCACTTCTCTGACCGTAACACCACGAAAACGTGGGTCATCCAGATCTACCTTCATAACATGCCACATACGTTTGAACAAACGTACAGCTGTCTCTGCTCGGTTCGGCCAAGGAGTTCTTGGCCCACAAGGACATTGTTGTATACCATGAAACCTGTAGTATTCAACAAAAGCATCTGTGAAAAAAGCTTCGTCTCCTACGATGGCCTTCGGAACACAGTTGTTCTCATCAGACCACTGCCTCAATGCTTGGATGGTGGTTTGATCTATGAGGTCTTTCTGTGCCGTAGCCCAGAGAAGATTTGTGGCACCATCAAGAACAAGTAGAATGATATACTTGTTCTTGTGAAGTTCAACCTCACAATGATCAGCAAAAACAACATCACCAAAACATGAAGCTCTAATACCGGAGACTCTGGCTCGTGGCGGAGGTGCCACTGAAGTGTTACAAACACGGCAGTTCCTGACAACTGATTCATACTTCTCTAAAACAGAGTCAGGAAGCTTCAACATAGAAACATGTCTACGAAACTGAGTAGGACTCATATGGTAGTGCTTCACATGAAGCTTATAAAGCTCTACCTTGTCCTCCAGTCTCTGTAACATCTTCCTATATGCCGGTGTCATTGCAACAACTTCACTACCAGGTAATGGGATTGAAATCCGCCTAGGCTCAAGAGCGCCATCACCTGGTTCAAGTGGTTCATGTTTATCACTTGATGGTCCTTTTGATGCTTTAGGAATTTCTACAAGTTCACCTTCTGGCCTCTCAGGTGGTTCTGAAGGAGTATAACCCTCAGGATCATCACCTTTTAAATCCTGTGGAGGCTCAAATGGTTTCGACTTGTGTCCTTTCCAAAATGGATCAAAACCCTTGGAAGTATACCGAAACTTTGGCGGCACGGGCTTTTCCGCGGCACTGGCTGGTGCACCTTCCTTCTCTGAAGAGAAGCCTGGTTCCCTGTCCCTTGCAATGGGAACCTTCTCTGAGGAGGAGCGCGCCACTGCATCGCGATCACCAATGCCACGGTGCTCAATGCCAGCCTTCCTGATCTTTAGATCTGGAATTTTGGCATTTGGCTTGAACTTAAAAATTGTTCTACCACGCCATTCATAGCCAATTT